TTTCTAGTGTGTATAAACAAAAAGTGATCTCTACACATTTTCTAACTCCTTCTGAGTTTTTCTTCAGGATAGACTGAGAATCAACCTGAGGAAACAATACAAGGTGAAATTTGAATGGTTACTATGTTTTAAGTTCCCAAGAGTCATAACTAACCCTCCTTTCCCTTTGTGGTATGGGGTGATATAGTGCCACCAGTCTTTGTGATGAGGATCTTGAAATATGGACCTGCATTCACACCCCTCCTCCTAAGACAGATACACAATGTTTCATCCCAGATTTGGAGATCCTTTTGCAAGGTCTCTTGAATAGGCAAAAGGAGTATTACCATTAGATGTAGACTTTCAAGATTAAAAAAGTAAGAGAGAGCTCCAAAGTGTTGAAGCTAAAGGACAAACAACAGTGATCTATTCGTCAGATGCAGGAAAACTTACTCTTGTCAGGGCCAAAAAAACCAAAGCCTTGGTTCTCATGAAATGTAACAAGTACACACAGTGCTTGCAGGAATACATCAAACAAACACAATGTGAAAGAGTTGAGGATGGATTCATCGATAAATTACAATCTAGGGTTAAACATTTCACCTGTACTAAGCTAGCTGGGTGCATGACTCTGAATAACAGTTCTTGACTCCCCAGATGTGCCTAGGTTGTTTGCATTTGCCAAGATGCATAAGCAAGGGCAACAACTCTGTCCAGTTGTAGACAAAGACAGGACACCAACCTGATTACTGGAAAAGGTCACCCACACCCTTCTCACAGCCCAATTAGAAGGGTATCCTTATAGAATCACTTGTTTAGGGGAGCTCACATAACAATTAAAAGTGTTCTGCCCTCCCCAGTACATTGCTGTTTTAGACTTTAAATCTCTGTACCCATCCATCAAACTTCCTCCATGTTTCTGTGTGCTCCAGGACAATGTTTCAAATTATCAATGATGTCAGTCTCCATCAGCAAGTTCTAGAGTTGGCATACTTAATTTGTTAAAATTCGGTCTTTCAATTTAACAAGATAGTCTACCATCAAGGAAGGGGTGTTCTGATGGGTAGCCCAATATCAGGAGACCTATATGAGCTGGTGGTCCAACAGTTAGAGAGCAAAGTCCTTTTCCAATTCCTCCCCAACATTCTTCTTTACAGGAAGTACATTGATGACATTATTATTTTTTGGAAAATGGTTCCAGATTTGAGGGCCTTTGTCAGTTCAGTCAATAGCAATTCTTAGGGGTTGATCCTTGAAGTGGAACAATCTGGCCTCTCAGGGGTACACTACTTGGACATCAATATCACTATAAATGGGTTAGGTATTCGCACATTGTTATTTCGCAAACCAGATTCAATGTCTTCTTACATCCCAGCAGAGTCATGAGATCGTCACTGTTATAAGATTGCAGCCTACAAAAGCATTGGTTAGGAGGGCTTTCACCCACTCTTCTACCCTGCAACTTTGATGCTGAATTAGCACTAATAGAAGAATTATCCATTGCCCATGGTTACCGAATGGTTGTGCATAAGTTGATTGATTCAACACTACCACATGCTTACAGGATCCCACGCCTACAGATGACATGTTGTAATTGACCAAGGTGGGGAGGTAGAACGGATCTGTGTTACCTTTAACTCCTTCCTAAGTTCATTATATACAAAAATCATCAGAAAGCATGCAATCTGCATAACTTTCCAGAGGTGCCCATTTATCCTTCATAATGGAAAGGACCTTCCCAACCCTAGCAGACTACAGTGTCCCTATTGGAAATACCAGATGCAATAGAGACCTTCTGTACATTGGGTCCACTAAATGTTGTATGAGAATGAGAATACAAGAATATATTTCAGATTGCAACATGCCAAAACATCAACAGCCTTCTCTACTTATACGGTGGATCTGGAGACTGTGGAAAACTTCATGTGGGCCAAACTTCTCACAACATCGCATTTGGAACACCTCACATAGTTGGAGGCCATAGAAATTTTTAAAGCTAACTTTGCATCATCTTATATAAATTTTAAGGAGGAAATGGTATTGTTGATAGCCTAGCAGGCTCTATTTGACCCGAAGGTATAGTCATTGGTTGATTGATTGTTATGCATAGGACAACGCATGTGCAGCTTTAAGTTTATATTTATAGTCCAAATGGTCGTTCAAGTTATGTTTTTTTAAAAAATTTTATAAATTCACATTTGTTTTAAAAGATGTTCTATTGGTAACCATTCTGTCACACCTGTAGAAGAACTCAGAAGGAGTTGGAAAACATATGTACAGAGATCATTTTTTGTTTATACACACTGGAAATTGGTTTTGTGTTTGTTATTACATATATCTTGGTGTGGTGTTATGTAATAATATTTTATATTTCTATTTCTGTAATTCAATTATAAAATAATTTCCAATGAAATTCTTGGTTTTGCATTAAACAAAAACTAATAACTTTCTAACCAGAAAAAAATGCAAGTTTGACTAAGTAAATTTAAAAATTAAAAATCTGGATTAAGCAAAGAGCACTGCACGACTTTGTCTCAGGAGGCAAAATAAATATTTAAACCACTGACTAATCAATTAATTCACTAAAATCATGTTTCTTAAACAGGTTTGTTTCTACTTATACAATCTTAATCTATCTTCATAAAAGTGAATGATAAACATATATAAAAAAAGCTAAATCAATAATAATACTTAATAAGCTAAATAATACAGGACTGTATTATTTGAAAAATTTTAAGGGGCTATCTTCTGTATAAACGGCAGTTATTTCTGTGTAACAACTATAAAAATAAATTTACTCTTATAAAAAATATCATGACTTTATAAAATTACTATTTGAAAAGAAATCATAGAAGAAAAAAGAAAGAATAAAGAAACTTTCAGTTATTCCTTCCTGTGGATACTATTGGACTAAGCATAACAGCTATATTGATATTTATGTCATTATAATCTAAGCTTACAGTTTTCAAGGAGGCCATTTCAAAGATAATATTTCCAAGATAATATCCTAAGCAAAGTTATTTGAGAAAATATCTGATTCAATTAAACTAATAATAAAATACTATACTCTTTATATTGCACATATCCAATTTAAAAAAATATTGATTAGAAGCTGATGAGCTGATGATTAATTTGAGTAATTTTCATTTATATAAATCAAATGTGCTTTAAATAAGAATATAATTATTCTCAATAATTATAAGAAAATAAGTTATGCATGTTCTAATTATTCAATATAGTAAAATGAAATTGTTTTATAGATTTCTAAAAATTTTAGTTCCTAATTACTTGTGGAATTATAAAAAAAAAATATATATATATATAGTTCTGGCATAAAAAATGTTAAATTTTAACTGACTTAATTTTGTGAACGTATCTTTTTTATTTATATGGTTATCTTAAGGTCAGTTTTTGCGCTGATGTTGCTAATGTACCATTTGAGAGAAAAAAAATTGTCAAGGAAAAATTTTCTGTTAGCGAACCCTTTGTTAAATATTTTGAATATCACCACTTATCATNAAATTTAGCTAAAATAGGAAATTTATGTATTATTATTTAATTTATACTTATATTAACAAATATATATCAATTATAAAACTCAACTAATTATAATTTAATGTTTTATAACTGTAATGTTACTAAACACTTTAAATAATAAAAAAGAACTTACTTAATTTTTCATTACACTGAATTAGAGCTAATATATTATAAATCAACAAAATATGCTAATCAATAAAATATAAATGGTTAAATATTTATTTCCTAACATTCTAATTAATGTATATTCCTCTTTTGAATCTGAAGCATTAAAACTTCAAAAAATATTGAAAACACCATTAATGATTATATATTTATATAAGTTTGAAAAAATAAATACACCTAATTCTATTTTTATACAATTTTCATTTAACGTGGTATGGAAAAAAATTCTATTCTCTTTGTACATGATTTGTTTTGATCTAACAGGTTTCAATAAATTGCCTTTTTTAAAAGTCTCCATTTTATTTACATTTTAAGAAGAAAATACTTATGCTTTATTTTCTAGAAAATTGCTCTTTTTTGAAAGATATTCTTAGAATTTGCATTTAATACTGCTATACATGATCAAGTAAATTTTAAGATTTGACTGTTTTTTGTTACTTATTTGAATGTGTGTAGTGATCATCAGTCTTTCATTCCAATTTTATTTTTCAATTGAAGCAGTCCAAAAAATTTAATTCAAAGTTAGCTGATTTGTTTCTATGACTGCATTTTTTCAAATTTCTTTCAGTACAGAATAGTTTTGTATGCCCTTTAGTGTTAAATGCTAAAGGTATTTTGGTTTTTAGTTGAAAGTCAATAAAAAAATAATTAAATTAAAATTAATTTGTGTGAATAATATAAATTCATTAAATTTTATTGATAATTAAGTTAATAAATTATAAGACAGATAATTGTAACTAAAATTCAAATATTTTGATTAAACATATTCTATCATATTAATTGATTTACTGTATTATTTTACTGGTTTTTAAAATCCAGAACCAATTTTCCATTTTTCCATACCGACAGTATCTTTTGTACACAGCTTTTTTAGAAACATATCTACAGTGTAAAAACAGAACTAAGCTTATAAGAAATTTATTTTGTGATATTTAAAAAAAAAAATTAGTACTCCTGAATATTAAGGTTTTTTTTATAATATGTTTAATCATAAATGCTAATATTTTCTCATTAAAGTATGGATTTTTAAAATGTATTTTAGTGAAGTTTGTTTATTTACATAAAAATAACAAAATTCATAAAAATTAAATAAACAAAACAAAACATAAACAATTCTATTACTAAATTTCTTATTTATTCAGTTTTTAATTTTATATAAATACTTAAAAATGGAAGAACAAGACAAGATGTTCCATTTTTAAAGTACTGTGCCTATAGTAATTTTTGAAAAGTTTTATTTTTTTAAACATTGCTTATATTTTTTAAAATTAAAATAGAGTTCTACAAACTAAAGTTTAATAATTACAATATTTTCCTACCAGAATATGAATCTAGTAAATGAGGAAAATGAGTTGGTAAAGTCCCAAGTCGAGAATTTAATCCAGGATTAAGCAAAGTACCATTTTCAGTGGATGGAGCTATAGATGCAACAGAAGGAAATATAGGATAGATAGCAGGGCTGACACCATATCTACTGTATCCTAAAAATATACAAATTTTGCAATTAAATATATTTAAAATAAGTAAAATTATAAATTAATATTTATTATTTCAATATAAATTTTTCAAATATATTAATTTAAATAAATCTTATCTAATATTGAAATACAATAAAGTTAATAATGAAGCAAACTAATAGATTAAAAAAAAAAACTTTGTTATAAATAATTAATAAATCTTTTGTGAAAAATTGGTTTTAATCTTCCTGAAAAATTTTTACACCATCAATTTAATATTAAATCATAACTTTATCAAGTGTCTATTGTAAATTCTAATACAGTTTATAAATATCAATAAGTAACATATAAATTTGATAAATAAAAGATTGAATTAAATTAATTATCATACAGCATAATACTAAGGAATAACTATATAGGAATTTTTATAGATTATCTTTAAATTTAATATATATAAAAAAAAAGTAAAAAATCTTTTTGCTAAATACAGTAGAACACTGATTATATGAGCTAATATGGACTGGTGTTACCTCAGATAACCAAAAACTCTGATAAAACAGACAACCATGGTCATTTCAGATTAAAAATTACAAATATGAAAGATATATATGGTACGGTACATCACTTTAGGTCTCTTTTTATACCTTAGTGAATTTAATCGTATGTAAGAACAATTTTTACATTATTTATTATACAGCTGATACAGTACATACAATAGTTTTAGGCAAAGCTGATTTGTCTCATATTAACATTAAACGATAAAAGTTAACAGAAACAAATCATTTTGTAATATATAATAGCATTTTAAACTTTTTTATGAATTACAGTATAATGTAGTAATATATTTACTTACAGCTTTGCCTTAGATAATACAAAACTTGAGTTANTCATATAAAATACACAAATTAAAATTATCTAATTAGTAAATAATAACGAAAAATTTACCTTCTGGTGGTGGTGTAGGAGGCCAGAACTGTCGAATATTTCCTGTTGGTGATCGAAAAGGTGAACTAGGTGGTGCAGGTAGTGATCCTGCATACATTCCACCAAGAAAGGGACAAGTAGAAGCTTTGGAAACAAAATATAATTAATAAAACTATTTATATTCCAGAAAATCAATTATACATTACATTTATAAATAAATACACTTACAATACAATTTATAATAAATAAATAATGATATATAATAAAAGTTTGTTTAAGATAAAATTAATTAAGATAAATTGTATTTGTCAATTTCAAATTTATATGAATACACGATTTATTAACATTATATAAATACTAGTGTAATAATTACTATTTCTGAAAATATTAATGAAAATTAAATTTATGAGTTAAAAACCCACAAAAAATTATTACTAAAAAGTAAAGGCTTATATAAAACAAGATAATATATTTTAAATAATTACCAGCATATATTAATCAAATTTTAAATACTGATATATACAGTAAAACCTCTTTAAAATGACCACCTCCAAAACTTGGTCATCTTGAGGGGTGGTCTTGTCAAAGGGGATGAAAAAATATAATGGATGGTTATACTGTAAATATTACTATGTATAGTAGTACTATATAGTAGATATATTTAATATTCTAGTATAACACTATACAGGCTACTTTATAGGTAATAAAGCAAAGGTTACTTAAAAAATGCTATGTATTGATTAAAACTACATTACAAGAAAATTTATTTATTAATACATCACATGTAACTCTGTGTAAAATACATGAAAATATAATGCATACAAGACTGTAAGCATTACAAATGTTTGATTTAAAATAATCTGAAATGAGTATTTGCTTTCTCAGTTATAACTTTTTTTGTAAGATGAAGCATTCAATATTTCTTTTCTGTCTAATTGAACAAATTCCAAAAATCACCCAAATCCCACTTAAATTTGTTGACATCAGTTATCATTTTATCTATCCCTATTAATAAAAAGATTAAATTCATTGGCTTTTGTTATATTATTTAGTTTAATAAGAATAAACAGAATATAAGAAAAAGCATAGAGTACCTTGTTATGATTATTAACAGCAAATTGTGTATATATTCTCCACAATAGGAGAAAATGAAAACACTGAAGTTGAAAAAAAATTTAAGACAAACTTTTACACTTAATACAATAGTGTAACATCCTCAACATTGTATATTGTACCTGCCCATGGTTTAAATTTCATCTAACTATCCAGGATGATGAATCTAATTGCCTCAAAATAAGTATTTCATGCATGAATCCAAATAGTCATTGGTCAGGTAAAAGGGTGGTGAGCTTAAAGAAGGCTAAAAACAATGAGTCCTACAAAATAAAAATTACGTTTCAAGAAAATCTAGTCATATAAAGAAGTGATCACCTAGAGAAGTTTTACTGTATTAACATTAAATTCATCATTATAATCTAGCATTTTTTTTTTATAAATGCTTTAACTATACACCCCGGGCTACTTATCCTCTCCGACCACGCTAATTTATAGGACCGACATCGATCGAAAAACATTCCCTCTTAAGAAAAATTATGTTTCCAATGGTAAATAATGCCCATTTTCCCTAAGATTTAACAATATCTGGCGCGAAAACTCGAAATACATTCGAGTGGCTCGTTTTCTTACGGGCAAAAAGCGCAATTGTCTAGACCTCCAAGGACAGTCTCAAAGCAATCTTTTATAANTCAATAATTGATTTAAACCTAACATTAAAAATGTACCAAAAAGTATTAAGAATTAAAATGGAGGAGGGGGGGAAATCTATCTTTGTATGCTTAATTATATATTTATAACGTTCAAAATAAGTCATCTGCACGAAAAATTTAATAATCTAGTAATAGTATGATAGATTTTTTTAAATTTTTTTTTTTTTGGCAAAACGATGAGTTAGATAAGTATACTAAAAAATACAATCATTTTAGAAGCTGTAGAAATATCGTGATGCATTAGTACATAACATTATGGACCATTGACTGTAAGAATGGAAGTGCATAAGGATCAAGTATCGTTTATCGATATGCTTGACTAGTTAAAAGTTTCTATCCGCCACAAAACGAGAAAAACTTTTTTTTTTATTTCTATATGTCTAAGGAACGTTAATGTTCCTGGCATACTGTTTTTTTTTTTCCATTTATATAAGCTAATACTCGATTTATATTTTCTAAGAATAAAAGAGTGATTTAAAACAAAAAAAAAAAAGAAATTATATTAGAGTATAACATGGAGGAAGTACTTTGCCTTAATTTCGTTCTAGATGAAAAAAAGCCGTACGGTAGTAAAGTAACCTAATTTCTATGGCAAATGAAGATAAGCGAACCTGTTCAAATATCTGCTATGTTCACTTTTAAAAATTCAAGATATAAGAATGTGTTTTTACAAGACTTTCCTTTTAGTTTCTCAATTTTCCATCAGTTTATTAAGTATAGTAAATACAAATACGTATAAAAAAAAAGTTGTGACGGAAATTGGAAATTCATCGTGTTTTACTGGATTCATTAATTTTTGGTTAAAATCCGTGTTAAAATGGAGTCCTACTAAATTATTTTCTTAATTAAAGATCATCATTGTCTGTAATAATGTATACAGTGGCAACGACAAATACAAATATGCTAATTATATGTCTTTTTTTTTCCCCCCGAGAATCTAGTTTTTAAAATTAATTTTGATCATTAATTTATAATGATTCTAAAACACATTTTTATCTTTATATTATTCGACAATTTAATTGCCTTCGGGGTGATAATGCATGAAGGTTTCTTGAAATAATATTTATTTAGGAATTTAATTAGTTAATATGGATAAATATAAGAAGTATTTATAGTAGGTAGAGTAGATGTTTGTATAACAAAAACAATAAAGAAAATTTAAATTTTTTTTTTTATATTAAACTATTAGGAAATCCATATTTTACTGAGATTTATGATAATTTTGTAATTTTGAAAATAATAGTTTAAAACTGAAGAAAAATGAATTCATTTAAATAACAGGAATCGCTAATCTATTTGAACGTATACATACAAGTAGACAATTCATAAATTAAAAAAAAAAAACAAAATATAATTTATAAAAAGAAAAAACTCGAAGAAAATAAATTTATTAAGCTGTTATTAAAATGCAGTATTCCTATAACAAAAATTGTTCGTGAATAAATAAAATAAATAAGTATTTATATGTGATATACAGTCGACCCCCCTATAACACTGTAGATTATTCCGTTTTATATGAATTCCATGTTGTATGAGTCACTTGGAATTCATATAAAACGGAATAATCTACAGTGTTATAGGGGGAGGTCGACTTGTATTTAGATGGTTTGCTAATAAAAATGTAATTCTTATAATAAGATACATATACACGTAACGATAGATATAGAAAAATTAAAATTATATATCTTAAAACTAATTTAACCACATTTCTTTAATTCGTAATTCTAAGAAAGTGATTCTTTAAAATGTATTACAGAATTTTAATTAAATAAAGGTATAAACAATGTTATAAATAGTATTGATTTTATTCCTAAGGAAAATAAATAAATAACAGTTAAGAAATTACAACATAGTTACGTGTATTTTCAGGTAAAATATCTTAAAATTGTAGATAGAGTTAAGGAAATTATAGTATTAAAGAGTTGTAGGGATAGCCTAATAGCTATTCTTATGTAGAATACATTATATCTATATAAAAAGATTTTCCAAAAAATGAAAAAAATTATACTTGAATATAAAGATAAATGGGGAGAAATAGAGTAAAAAAATATATATTTATATTTAAAAAATGTTCAATTATTAAGACGTCACGATTTCTGCAAAATTTTTATTAATCGAATTCGTGGTCTGACCTGGAACAGAACTACGAACGGAGAGAAAGAGACTGTAGGAAAAGAGGGGGGAAAAAGCTGATTATCATAAGGTGATAAATCCGTAGTTTGCTTGACAAGCTTCAAAAGTGAAGTTGATCAAAGAATGAATGTCAGTTTTAAAATGATCGATAACGCAGACATAAATTACAGAAATGATGTTAGTGGAATTTTCGTAAAAATAATAATAATAATCTCCAATTTGGTTCCATCTTAGAATCGTAATAAATAATTAACGAATAAATGTTGTATTAAATTTGTACTAATTATACAAATTAAGAACGAAATTTTACTGGAAAATATTCAAAATGTAATCGATACAAACTAGAAAGTGTTTTATACTTTTATAGAAGATACGAAAATTGAATATACTTTAAAATGGTTTAAATTTCTTTTTTCTTTCTTTCTTTCAATTTATAGTTAATCGATAAGGCGTCTGTACAATTTTATATACCGGTTTAAAGATTAAAAATTGGCAGATGAACGTATCGAAAACGAAGTTGAACGAAAAGAAAAAATAAAAATAAAAATCTGGAAAATGTTCGAAGGAGATTTATCATCAATCCATAAAGTGTAATTCCGTTTTGTGTACGATTTAAAAGAGAAGTGATCAATTTTAAACAGTAAAAATATACAATCAAAGTTAGTCATGGTTGACAGATGGCATAAAATGAACTTTACTTCTACCAAGACGACTTATAGTAGTAAGTCAAATGGGGCCAAGAACAGTTCAGACTGGTTTGAACGTTGAGAGAAACCGGTTTATCCCCAGGCTCCAGGTTAGCAAGGTGACCTTGGGATGACTGTTTCCCTTAAGGTGACATAGTCTTACCTATGGGTTAGGGATGAGATGAACATAGAACACTGCAATCACTAAAGGCCAGCGGCCTCGGGTGGACTCTTGCCAACTTCTTCGGGCAAAATGTTTTATTTTCTCAGTAAACTTGGCTCGGTACCACCCACCCATCATTAATTGAACATCTAATATTGTTCGGAGGCAACCGCGTAAAATGTGGTTCCACGGCTTAATAAAGTTCGTACGTGTATATTTTAAAGTCATTAATACAGATTAATTAATCCCTCTCTTTTGTAGAAACTTTTGAAACCTGTTCACCGTGAAAAAAAACTGTAAAAAAAAAAATCCATTAAAATAATTAAAATTTTCACACACATTTCTTTTTTTTTCCTTCTTAAATTAATCATAAGAGAAAACGCGAACTGCTTTATG